GTATTATTCTAATGGTTGTTTTGGTGGTGGTAATGGTTATTTACATTACATTGTTCAGACTATTGTCCTCATCTCCAATCACCTGGAGAAGGCCAGAGTGTACAACTGTTGAAACGTGAATATGGCAACAAAGATGAAGAGAACAGTCTGAACAATGTAAATAGTTACAATACCTCATGTCAGAAATATAAACAGATGTGGTAACAGTTGTTTTGAAATATTTTAGGGTAGTTGTGGATCCAAATGCAGTTGTTAGTTAAATTTTTTATTTATTATTGACCGTTTTATTGTTGGTTGTTATTAGTAAGATTTCTTGCATTTATCTATAGATACATGATTTGTTAATTTATTATTTGCATACTTTATTTATGTATTTGTTTAGATTATTTTATTTGTTTTTGTTTATTCTTGTTCATTTTCAGTTTTGAATGTTTAAGTAACATAGTAAAAATTTGTTTTTGTGTCTGTATTTTGAGATGAGTTCTGCTCATTTATTTAATAGTTTGTTTTGGTCTGGGAAGATAATTATGGCTATTTTTCTTCCAGGCAGAGTTTAGTTTTTGGATTGATTGTTGTAGGCTGATGTTCTTTCCCTTGTTTTCCATGATATTTTTGGCGTGATTTGGTTTTTTGTTTTTAATCATTAGAATAATTGAGCTTCTACAGAAGGATACTGAGGATACCATGGACTAAACATTGTGAGCAACAACAAAGTTCTAAAGAAAGTGTCAACAAAAAGGACACTTCTGATCAGAAAGAGACATTTGGAATTTCTCTGGTCCATAATGAGGAAGGAGGGCTTTGACACTCACACAGGATATTTGAAGGCAAGAGAGGCAGGGGAAAGCAGCAAGTAACATACATAATGAGCTTGTGCAAATGGTTGGCAGGACAGGCATTAGGAGCATTACTTCTAAAGTCTACTTCAACCCTATGCTAAACTAATGTCTCTGCCTGAAGTTTGAAATTTTATTCACTAACTAAATGTTGACCTCTTCAAGTCTAGAGTTAGCTGTTATCTTTTTTTGCATAGCCACAAGAACTGCTAATACAACTCCACGCAGTAACACTCTATTTTGAGTGATTCTCAAGCCTTGTTTAGGGTGAACATAAGTTGAAAAAAAAAAAGAAACTTTACTAAGGAAGGTCTACAATGGACATAATTGTGAAGAGCCATGATCGGCCACACCCGGAAGGGACACTGCATATAGAAGAAGAATATTTACTGCTTGAGAAAATCTGAGGTTTCTGTTACCTCGCCTTTTTGATTCATAATTTTTAATATGTAGCTGTTTATTTCAGGAACCTTATATCTTTCAAATTCCCTCCCCACAATTCACCTCTTTTCAATCCTTTTATCTCCCATCTTAACAATCGCTCAGTTTTCTATTTCATTTAACTTTTACCTCTCCCATCATTAATCCTATTACCCTTCTTGCTACCATGATTATCTCTTTCTCTCTTTTCATCTCCCACCTTTTCTGATTCTCTCTCCTCAAATCAACTCTTGTTTCCCCCTCCTTTTTTTTTTTTTTTTTTTTTTTTTTTATAACCTCCTATCTCCAACAGCCTTCTTCCTATTCACCCAATTTAATAGGAAGGGACTCAGGGTTGTGGAATGTAGACACTCAATCCAGATCACAAGGGGTCAATCAACAATTATTCTCTTGACATGTCAGATATTTTTAAAATGCCAGCAAAAATAGACGGGAACTTGTTCAAAGATATAGAGCAAAAGTGTAACACCTGAAAGGTACATGAGTTTCATTCATTTGTCACTGACAATGCACAATTACACCTTTTCTTTATCTTGTTTGTAAATGGTATAAATTTAGGACATCTTAGACTAGGAAATTGACCAAACTCAATCATCAGATGTCAGAGCTTACTGTTTAGTTGGTGATTCAAAAAAATTGATGACTGACAAAACCAAGAAATACCATCATCCAGACAAGAAAAGATGTGTTTGAATTTAGGATAAATTTACCAAAGAGTCTTTATTTGCTTGCTTGAACTAAAACTGCTTTGGAAACAAATGTATGCTACAGGATAGTGTTTTTAAAAGTAAAATTAACCTACGACTTTCTTTCATTTTTTTTACACTTAGGAACATTATAAATAGGTCTTAGATTAACTTCTGTAAGATGTGCAGAAAAGTTCTCAGCCTGATCAAGAAACTCTTATCTCCTCCCAACTTCTGATGTTTGGTCAGATTTTAGGAAATGGGTTGAGCTGTATGACCCAAAATTTGACAGCTTCATTGTTTCTTTCTGTGTATGATAACGGTAATAGCCATTTCCTTATAAGGAAACATTCAGCATTCAATTAACTGAGAAACCAGTGCTGCATTCTGTTGAAATTTATAAAATCTTTTCTGTTAAAACAAGTTTTCAGGAAAATGGGTTTTCTCAAGACCAGTAGTGGCTTTTGTTTGAAGTCATGTGAAACGTCGGCATTTTGATTAGATCTCTTTGAGTTACATGTGTTATCAGTTTTAGTTGTTGTTGTTGTTGTTGAAAGTCCTCAAGTGATGTGATTGCTGTTATTTGAAACAGTTCTTTGTGATTCTATAGCACCAGTCCACACGGTTCAAAGAAGGATGGTCCTCACTGACACCTACACACACACACACACACACACACACATGTATAAGTGATGCATACACGGACACGCAAGTGACACACATTAAACAGAATGATGTAAAAGTTAGTTGAATATAGTGTGACTAAATGTAAAAGAGGCAAGTAAACTTGTCTTGGAGGACTATTCACATTTATTTCTTTTTCCCTTAAATCCCTTCTTCATTAGACCCCAAAACTTAACAACCCCATGGTTGCATATGTGCATCAAGTAGTGCATCTAAATAGCAGAAGCAGTATCCTGAAATTACATAATTCACTGTAAAAATAGAAAAAAAAAAAAGTAATACACTCTTTTCAGAAGCATTAATTTTGTCTTCAAAAATTTGAATGCAAAGTAGGTCATCAATTTTCTGTTCCTCTCTCCTCTGCCACTTTCTCAATTTCTTTTTACTCTCAATAATCTCCTTCAGTCTTAGTGGTTTTATGTCCTTGATTGAGGTGAAATGATTAAAAATAAAAAAAAACATCAGTGACACACACAATCTTTGAATATAAAGAAGAAAATATTTGGTCTTATTAAAATTCTAGATTACATTGGTTTAAAAACTAGATGTTTTAGACTAAATTAAGTTTATTCTGAATCTGAAATCAGAATTCTCCTGTAAGCACCTGATTAGATCAACCCAACATATTGCATTCATTCAGGAAGAAGAATTTTTCTGGCTGTTAACCAAACGAATGCTGCATTAAACTAAATCAGTGATACTGAATCTCAAATACTGAAAATGGTCCTGGTTTTTCCAATCTGGGCAGAGCATATTTATGATTAAAGTAAATATATTATCTTTTTAGTATATGTATACATTCTTTTGAGCTGTCATCACTAAATTCATTTGTTAATTCGACAGAAATTTCCTGGCCTCAAAGTTAAAAATATTGAATAAACAACAGAGACCGACAACATATCAAAGAATGGAATGTCAAATGCCTCTTGATATGCACTGCTTGTTTTTTTGATCTGGATGCCATAAGAGATTCTTATGGGGGCATATATCGAAGATGGAATTAAGGTCTGAAGGCCAATTCAACCCAAGCATGATGGGCAGCTACAACAGGAAACCAGCTCCACATTTCAAAACATGCCTGAAGATATCAGAAATAAAGTGACTATTTTATATTTATTTGCTTATTTATCCATTGATATCTAAAGTTAACTTTAAACATAAATATATACAATATCAATAACCTATTAATATATAATGTTTACATTGAACATAAATATACAATGCACAGATCTCAAAAAAAAAAAAAAAAAAAAACCATGTTGGGACAATTCTGGTAGATCCTTAATTTAGTCTTGTACATTATTTATCTGTGTAGCAATCAAAAAGCCCCCCACCACCACCACCATTCCTCCCTCTGAATATTTGATGATATGATACAATGCCAATAAGTTTGGTTATCTGAATGATATATTGTTGAAGATAAAGATCTTAACTAGATTTATCTAACTACTAATCTTGGATAACAATATGTACATCTGAATCCTCATAGATTCTCCACTATTGTGGCCTTGTGCCAGGTTAACTGTACATAAACAAATATTAAAGAAATCACCCCCCAACAAAATTTTTCAACCAGGCTAAGGTGCCAAAAATAGTCTGAAAACAGTGGTGGAGACACAGGGTTTCGCAGGCTGGCTTATGACCCACCAGTTTTGTCCCCACATCAGAAATTTTCTAATAAATTGTCGGGAAATTTGTGAGTAGGAAAAATAACAATGTTTTCAGCTTTTGATTTGAACTGATTTTGTTGTATTGGATTTTGTCTTGGATCATACATGTAAACAGTAACGTACCGGTCAGTAGAGTAAAGTAGAGGTAGAGTATGTATGAAAATTTAGCTACAGCTAACCATTCAGCATAGGGTGAATCGGGGTCATTGGGGTGATATTTGAGCAGACCGCCCCAGGTGACGTTTACTCTAGCTACGCCACTGGGGTGAACAGCCTTACTTTGCTCAAAAATGATCTTTTACAGCTTTGAGATTCAATTCTGGCAATATTTCATGTTCAGTTTTTTTTTTTCTTTTCTTTTTTTTTTCCTCTCCATTTCCTTGATTGACTTTATTTCTTTAAGCTTGAAAAGGTGTCATTGATCGTCTAGTACAAGTAATGGTTACTTTTGAGGGATGAGGGAGACAAATGCCTTCAGCAAAGGGGAGGAGTATTTTATAAAAAAAGTAATTTTCTGTTGGTTACGAGCAAAAGGCAGGATCCATTGAACATACTTTTACTCTTAAGTATGAAATCAAAACTTGTTTTGTTGTGACTGTTGAATATTTCAATAGAAATTATGGTTCCTTGAATCAACAGAAGAAAATGTCTAAGATTTAACTGTTGATTCAATTATTAAGAAAATGACAATGGTTGTTTTAAACCCCCCACACACACACATATGCACACTTTTATTTATCTATTTATTTATCCTTCTCTCTGTCTATTTCCCCACCCCTAAATCTCTTGATTTGTCAACTTGGGTGGGTCATTTTATTTTCTTCCATTTGGATTTTAGTCTTTTATTTATATTTTCCTTTTTTCCTTTTTTTTTTTTTTTCTTCTTCCTTTATACCTATTACTTTTGCTTCTCTCTGTCCATCTCTCTCTCTCTGCTTCTTTCTTTCTGTCCATCTCTCTCTCTCTGCTTCTTTCTTTCTGTCCATCTCTCTCTCTCTGCTTTCTTCTTTCTTTCTGTCCATCTCTCTCTCTTTCTCCATTTTCTTTTCTTTCTGTCCATCTCATCTCTCTCTCTCTTTCTTCTTTATTTTTCTGTCCATCTCTCTCTCTCTGCTTTCTTCTTTCTTTCTGTCCATCTCTCTCTCTCTGCTTTCTTCTTTCTTTCTGTCCATCTCTCTCTCTCTGCTTTCTTCTTTCTTTCTGTCCATCTCTCTCTCTCTGCTTTCTTCTTTCTTTCTGTCCATCTCTCTCTCTGCTTTCTTCTTTCTTTCTTTTTCTGTCCATTCTCTCTCTCTTTCTTCTTTCTTTCTGTCATCTCTCTCTCTCTTTCTTCTTTCTTCTCTGTCCATCTCTCTCTCTCTCTCTCTTTCTTCTTTCATCTCTGTCCATCTCTCTCTTTATTCTTTCTTTCTTTCTTTCTGTCCATCTCTCTCTCTCTGCTTTCTTCTTTCTCTCTGTCCATCTCCTCTCTCTCTCTTTTTCTTTTCTTTCTTTCCATCTCTCTCTCTCTTGCTTTTTTTAAAGAAATTTTTCTGTCCATCTCTCTCTCTTTTCTTCTTTTTTCTTTCTGTCCATCTCTCTCTCTCTCTTCTTTCTTTTTTCTTTCTGTCCATTACATCTCTCTTGAATTTCATCTTTCTGTCCATCTCTCTCTCTCTCTCTTCTCTTCTTTTTTCTATTCCATCTCTCTCTCTCTCTTTCTTTTGAAAATTTCTAAATTCTTTCTCTCATCTCTCTTTTTCAATTTTTTCTGTCCTTCTCTCTCTTTCTTCTTTCTTTTTCTTTTCTTCCATCTCTCTCTCTTTCTGCTTTTTTCTGAGTTTTCTTTCTTTCTCTCTCTTTAGAGAGAGTTCTCTTTTCTCTCATTTTTTCTTTCTTTCTCTCTGCTTTCTTCTTTCTTTCTCTCTGCTTTCTTCTTTCTTTCTCTCTGCTTTCTTCTTTCTTTCTCTCTGCTTTCTTCTTTCTTTCTTTGCTTTAATTAATTCTTTCTCTCTCTTCTTCTTTCTTTCCAACTCTCTCTCTGCTTTTTTTTAAATCTTTTTCTTTCTAAATATTTTTCTTTCTTTTGTCCATCTCTCTCTCTCTTTTCTTTCTTTCTTTCTGTTCTCTCTCTCTTCTCTGCTTTCTTTTTTTCTTTTCTGTCCATCTCTCTCTGCTTTCTTCTTTCTTTCTGTCCATCTCCCTCTCTGCTTTCTTCTTTCTTTCTGTCCATCTCTCTCTCTGCTTTCTTCTTTCTTTCTGTCCATCTCTCTCTCTGCTTTCTTCTTTCTTTCTGTCCATGCCTCCCTCTCTTTCCCATCTTTTATCCATTTTGTCTCTTTGTGTACGTACTCTTTGTGTATGTCTCTAATAAACTTTTCTGTTTATTTTTCAGGGTGTTCCCAACTGAATTCCATTTTTTTTGCACAAATATAGGAAATGGCCAAGAAAAAACATGCAGCCAACCATAAAAAAAGGAAAAATAAGAAACCCTACTCAAGGGAAAAATTGATGTCGGTGAGTAATTTTGAATATAAAAAAAAAAAATTCTTAATTGGAAAACCACACCTTTTTTAGTGGAGTGTTTTCTCACAAAATTCAAATTGCATGAAACTGCAAAAAATATTCTAAATTAAGCTTTAATGCATGTTAAAAATCCCAAAGACATTCGGGCATAGTTTTTTTTTTTTGAGAAGTTGTTGAATTAAGAATATTGTGTGCCTTGCCATGAAGTAATAGTTAGACAGCTGGTCTTGAAGAACATTACAAATTAAATTCAATCCTTAATTGCTGTCCAGAATTGAAGTTGCATCAAAACTAAGCCATTCTTATTACACTACTTTACAAAAATTAATGTCTTTGATTTGGTTAGAAAGATGAGAATGTAAAAATTTATTTTAAGAAAAAACAAATCAACATTTGTCTTCCCTTGATTATGTTCTTTTAATTGTGTAATATTTGTTGAGGTTTTTTCTGGTTTTTAAACTGGTGCTGCCTTTTTTTTCCTTATATTGTTACCATTTGCCTAATGGAAATTTAGAAAATTTAAAAAATTTGGAAAATTTCCAACATATATCAATGAAAGTTTCACTTTCTAAAATTATAATTTAATAACTACAGTCTAGATTTAAAAATAGATACCTCCAAAAAATTTAAAAAAAAAAAAAAAAAAAAAGTTTACCAAAAAAAAAGGCTTTTTTGATAATAAAACAAACTTTTATTGTGAAAATCTTATTAAAAGGAAAGACCAAAGTCATTTTGATTTTATTAAATTTTTTAATCTTTTCTAGCACATTTGAAATTTTGGTTAAAATTTTGTTTTTCTTGCATCATCAGTAGGTTAGTCAAAGATTAGTATTTAGAAAATTTAGTTAGTGGGGTTTTTTTTTTTTTTTTTATCATTTAGGAAATTCTTGCAAAAATCAAGTAATTGTTGGATTTAATGAAATTTTCAGAACTTGTTGACAAATTAATGAAATTATTTTTGAATTAAAAAAAAAATTTTTTTTTATATCTCTTACCCCACTTACTTAATTTTATGAAATTTTGAGAAATTAAAATCCAGCCTCTTCTATATTTAGATTAGTTAAAAACAGGACTCCTTGTAGAATTTAAATCATTAATTTGTTTTTGTCAAAGTTTCAGAAAAGTATATTTTATTTTTGAAAGATTTTTTATAATAGAGAATTACATTGCTATGAATGACAACTAAGAAAACGGTGCTCATCAGCTATTTTAGTAAAAAAAAAAAAACACGTCCTTCTAGTCAAGTTAAATTAGTTTTGAAATACATCAAAGTATTTTGCTTATTGGAAATATTACATTTAATCTATCAGCTTGAAATTAAAACTAAAATAAAAACTTTAAGTAAGAGTTTTAATTTTTAAAAATTCATTTTAAACCTTAGGTATCATATTTTTTTGTGGAGGTCCCTATTTTAATCATCTATCTACCAAGAAAATTGACTTCCATTAAATATACCACATGGTTCCAATGGACCCATTTCTATTTTTTATTTTTTTTCAAAACTAATTGAATTTTTTTCATTTTTAGATGATATTAGGTATGTATGATTCTAGATGGATAAAGAAATAACAATTTTAATCAAAATTTATTCACTCAAACAGAAAAGTACAAGATCTGTATGAATTTAGTTTGAAATTATAAACATAATTCAAATAACATTTCATTGCTGCGTTTTCCACAATACTTTCAAATGGCTTTGGCAGACATGTTTTTGGCAAATATGACAATTTGTGTTTTTCTATCCATTTTAGCGCCACCACACAAGTTGCATCTTTTTTCTTTCTCTCATTGAATGGTTCCTGCTCAGTGTATTACTCACTAGAGCTTGTAGTTGTAGGAGTGCCTTTGAAACCCAAATTCCTTTAGCATTTGTCCATTTTTGGATTATTTCCAGGACATTTACCTTTTATGAACAATATAAATGATATAAGAGCTGAATCACAAAATCTTCTTGCAAATTGCAATGGTTCAGGCTTTTGATGTAAAATAATGTGAGGTAGAGTTGTTCTGTATGCACTTTCAAATGATTTAGAAGACCAAATTTCAGACATTTCCTTTTAATAATACATTTCATTTATCATTGAAGATTTTGAATCATTTCTGTCATCATTCATATCTTCATCCAATTCTCAATAAGTAATGCTGACATTATCGCTTTCATTATCATCTTCAGAAAGAAAAATGGCACCTATTTAGAATGGACGATAGTTTTTATTTAATTAAAAATTCCAATCATTGGTCCAATTGACCTATTTGGTAATAGAAGTCACCTACCAAAATTTTTTTTAATTTTTTTTCTAAATTTATTTCCTTCATGTGGATGATAGATAATGAAGGAAAGATACAAGTGACAAAAAATAATTCAGATAGAATAATTATAAGGGTAAAAAAAATTAGTTTTTAAAAAAAATTGATGGGCTGATTGGTAAACCAAGAGTTAAACTGCCAGTTTTTTAAAGGCTTATTGGGACATTTTTCATAACATGTTACTAAAAAAAAAAAAACTTTTAAATCTAACTTTAAAAAAATTGTATCAGCTGTCAGAAATTTTGGTAGTTTGTTTTTAATCTTATTTTAGGTGCTAAATTTCAAAATTTGGGCGTTTTGTAATCATGGATTTATTTTAGTATTGATAGAATTTCTACACTAAAAAAAAGAAAAAAGTGAATTCAGGTGTATAGTTTCATTTCCTTTCATCCACCCACAGAATTTGCAATGTCATTAAATAAATATAAGCACTAAAGTGACAATCTTATTGAAGTTGTTAAAAGTAATCTGAACCTTGATATCACGGATAACAGAAGAAACAAAACAAAAAAAAGTCTATGTTGATGAGGCTTTGCTGTCATATAAATAATAAATGTTTAAAATTGTAATTAAAATGTGCAGTTCAATATATTGTGTGTATATATATTACATTTCTAGAAATTCTAAAAATAGACAAGTGAAAATGCCATTAAGAGGTGGCTTCATTTGTAAACCAATTTTTTTTTTGTCTATAAGTTATTGAAAGTGGAAAAAAAACATTTATTAGTGATTAAATGGACTATTTTTATGATCTTCTGAATAGGAAGAGGTGATTTTATTTTTGTTTTTTTTTAAGTGTGTTTTTTGTAAATTTTTGCTATTGTTGAGTGGGGGGAATCTTTTTTTACATCTCTCTGAAGGTGTAAATGCCAAAATCAGGTTAAATGGTGTTTTCTACAATCAACAATGGTTTAATACCAAAACCAAAACTACAGCTTATCTATAATCTTCTTGGTAATATTTGTGCTCTTGTTGCTTATCCGTTGCAAAAAGTCTCTTCTTTCTTTGAGAGTTTCAGTAAAGAGTTTCAAAAGCCAAGATGTGACCATCAGCATTCATTGATGGTGAGGTATTGAAAAACAAATATGTCCACCTATCTTGGTTCCAGTCTAAAGAAATGGACTGGAAAGAAGAGCTGAGACAAGCTCGGCATTCAAAACTTGTCTCACAGGCTGTGGAAGACTCATAACGTATGAATGAAGATTTAGATTGGCATCTATAAAATTTGTAATTACATTAACATGTTGGCGACATCTTGTCTCTCATCACATAAATGAATACTGGATTTGTTTCAAATTCATCATTCATGTTTGATTTATGGTATTACATACGATGATAAAGTAAAGAACAATAATGTATTGCTGTGATGCAATATCATGGCAGTTGAGGTTTTGTGAAGAAATAGAACAAAACCGAAAGTTAGATTTCTTTTAACACCAAAGATTTTTTTTTCTTCTTCTTCACTGGGTGTCATGTCTCTCTTTTTCTCCTATCTCTATTCTTGTCTTGCTTAGCTACTGTTAATAACAACATCAATAATGTTGATTATTATGATGATTGTAAGCACTTCTGGTCGCACTCATTGCTTCAAATTTTCATTGGCCAGTCCTCATATAATTTATCTTTCCAGCCTAAATCCAGTCAGACAGCTTCCTCAACACCCATGACAAATTCATGGCTTTTATAGATTTTGAATTTGCAGGACCTCTGTATTGATAAGTTAAATATCCAACATATTTTTACCATTTGCCCATGGCCTGGATATTGCTACCACATCTGGTCTAGTGGTTCTGCTATGTATTTACAGATTCTTGATAAAATCCAAAAAAGAATCTGCAATGTTATTGGTCTTGACTTGGCATCTCAGCTTCAGTCACTTTCCAACTGTCGTAACATAGCTTCTGTCTACTCTTTCTATAAATATTTTCATGGTAATTGTTCTGATAAGCTTTCCTCTTTGGTGCCTTGACTTTATGAATGTAAGTGCAGTACTAGATTGGCAGTGAGGGCTCATCATTTTACAGCTGAAATGATTAGATGTAACCATAAATTCTATGCTAACAGTTTCTTCACTCACACTTCTTGTTTGTGGAACTCTCTTCCAGTCACTTCCTTTCCAGTCAAATTTGCAATTAAATTTTTAAAGATCAATGTCAATCATTGTCT